ATTTTATTTCAAAATTCATATATGCTATTTGTAAAAGGTGACCAATCATTTTTATATAATTTTTCTAAACTTTGTTCGAGTATGAGAGAAATGTTGCTACAGAGCTTAGTGCTCACCCCCTACAAATAATATTTTTCAGATTATGTCTTAGAGGAGGAGTTGAGAGTGGATGAACCGACAAATTGGGAGACTCCTACAGAAGGGAACATGGATCCCGAGGTGGGCNAATGAATTATTAGTCGTATATTATAGTGGTGGGTTATTGTTCATTGTACCAGGAATGGTTTCTACAAGAATTTTGGGAAGTATGGGATTCCGCAAGAACTTGAGAGAAACGATTTATGGTGGAATGGATTATTAGTTGTAATTGGTTTCACTTATGCATTAAATTACCGTTGTTGCTTAAACTTGAGATCTGTTTAATTGTCCCTATTTTATTTCAAAATTCATATATGCTATTTGTAAAGGGTGACCAATCATTTTTATATAATTTTTCTAAACTTTGTTTGAGTATGAGAGAAATGTTGCTACAGAGCTTAGTGTTCACCCCCTACAAATAATATTTTTCAGATTATGTCTTAGAGGAGGAGTTGGGAGTGGATGAACCGACAAATTGGGAGACTCCTACAGAAGGGAACATGGATCCCGAGGTGGGCGCCTAAAGCGACTTTACCTTTTTGTTCTAGACTCGAAAATTCATTTTTTTAAATATTTTGAAGTCTAGTCTTCTTTTGTAATTCCGTTACATTATGATAGTTAAATTTTTGGGATGTAAATGCCACGTTGGGCATATCAATTTGGGTAATGTTGTAAATATTTTATGGAGGATGAATGAAGTCCCATTTATTTATAGATTATATTAGTGCTCTCATGATATGAATGATTTTAAATTGTAATGCTGTCCAAGGTGATTTTTAGGGCATTACAAAACCAGTAGACCAAGCGTTGATTTTGCTGCTGTTCATGGCCTTTTATATGCTAAGGAAAAAATATATATTTTTTGCTGTTAAGGTGTTTGAAGTCGAAATCCCGTTTAATTGGGTTTGGGAGCCTTTCGCCTGTTTTGTTTTTTGGATATTTTTAAAAACATCATTTTGAATATTTCCATATTTTGTCATTGTTTTCAAAATGGAGCAGCAAAAAGAAATGAAAACATTCACTAAACACTTTTTTATCTTTTTATTTTTCCAAAAATGTGAAAAAAACAAAAAACATCGTGTTACCAAACACAACCTAAATAACCTTTATAATATTATCTTAATTAATGCAAAAAAGAGTCGAGAAATTTGTCTATAAGCACAAATTTGGTACAAATGGTTGATAATATGTTATAGTCTTTACAAAAGAATATTAAAATTTATTATTCAAATTCTACACGTGTAATGCTTATGTACACCAACTAGTGACCACAAATAAATCAAACTAACATTTACATCCAATAATTATTTTTCAATATAGTACCCAAAATTTTTTTGGTTACCATAATGTAATCCCTTATACTATGTAGCAAAGCTCTTGTGTCCCTGACTTTAGTTCTTAATCTTCTCCAAAGGGAAAGAATTATGTCCTATATCCTTGACCCCAACTTAGTACTTATTGCAGGAGAAATATTTTAAAAATTGGAATTTGTTTTAAAATATTTCAATCAATGTTTAGCAATCAAAATCCCGAAACTTTTTTTTGTGTTTTTAAAATATATTTCTATTTCCACTTTAAATTGAACTATTTGTTGGTTTTGTGTAAACAATAGAAAACATAAACCACTTGACTCATAAGTGGACACTAAGGACGCGTTTTGTAACATTTTTGTTTTTATGTTTTCAAAAAAAAAAATTGAATAATTTTTAATNTTCTATTTCCACTTTAAATTGAACTATTTGTTGGTTTTGTGTAAACAATAGAAAACATAAACCACTTGACTCATAAGTGGACACTAAGGACACGTTTTGTAACATTTTTGTTTTTATGTTTTCAAAAAAAAAAATTGAATAATTTTTAATTTTTTTTATGGTTAAAAGTTGAAATAAAAAATGTGTTTGGATACAATAGTTATTTTAAGAAATTTTAAAACTAAAACAAAAAACCAATAGACCAAGTGTTGATTTTTCTGCTGTTCATGGCCTTTTAAATGGAGAGAGAGAGAGAGAGAGATTTTTTTGTAATAGTTGGTACTGCATTAATGAAGAGAGAGGTTATGTCATCAATTATATTTTATAATTTAGTTTGGCCGTTTATCTTTTTTGGGGGATTTTTTTTCTTATTGAACCAAATTATATGTGCTATTTTATAGAGTTTTTTGGGTGTGAGTACATTTTTATAGACTTATTTGAAAAGCAGTGTATGAATAAATATTTTATTCTATGAACTTTAATTTTAATAAAACATCTTGTGATTAGGTATAAAATTCAAATGACATTTAAATTTTTTACTTACTTACCATTCCTTAAATTATGTATAATTTTTATTATCTCCATCTCCCTCCACCCTATCATTTCTCTCCCCTATTTTCTCTCCATCTCTCTTTGTTACTGTCCATATCTCTCCCCTATTTTTTCTCTGTGTCCCATTGATAATTTATTTTCTTTCCAAATATGTAAAGATTTAATTTAATTTTTTTATTTCTCTTTCCCCCATTTTCTCTCTCTCTCTCTCTCACTCTGTCCCCCCTATTTTCTCTCACTATTACTCTCTCTTCTTATTTTTTTCTCCATTTCTTTATATCAACGTTACAACAACACAGTTACACTCATTAGTTACACCAATCAGTTATAATTGTCTTATAATATAAAAATAGTTACTCATGTATTTTAATAAACTAAGCAGTTACACTAAACAATTACAATAAATTATGACACCAACCCAATTTATCATTCAGTTGTTTACATAAATAAAATAGTTACACTATTTAGTATCACAAAATGGTTACACCAATTATATTCACCAAATTTGGTATAATCATAAAGTCTTTTGTTTAATGATAAACCTAATTTGATGTATATAATTGGTGTGACTATGTCGTGATACTAAATGGTGTAACTCTTTGATTTATGTAAAAAAATGAATAATAAATTGGATTGGTGCTGTAATTTCATGCAATTATTTAGTGTAACTGTTTGATTTATTAGAACACATGAATAATTGTTTGGTGTATTATAGGGTAATTGTAACTAATTAGTGTAACTGATTGATATAATTGTGTTGTTGTAATATTGATATAAGGAGAGCAAGAATAAGAAAAGAAAAAGCAATGGTGAAAGAAAATAGGGGAGAGGGATGAAAAAATTAAATCAAATATTTACATATTTAAAAAATATATCAATTATCAATGTCAGAGAGAGAGATAAATAGAGATAAAAGAGGAAAGCGATAATGAGAGAGTAATGGAGAGAGAGAATAATGAAGAGATAGAATAATGGAATACAAAATAACATTTTAGTCTTTTTTCAAAAAGAAAAATGCATTTAGGGTCAACCAAGTTTTCTTAATGTAATTTAGCTCAACTAAGTTTTCTTAATGTAATTTAGCTTAATTAAGTGCAAAATTTTATAACGGCTTCCAAATTTCCCTATTTTATACAAATTATGGGGCCTTTGAGATTGGGCCCTAAGTTGTTGGCTCAATGGCATTGCCATTAGGCTGGCCCTGAGTAATGATTTTATTTTGTCCCTAACTTTAGTTCTTACTCTTCCCCCAAAGGAAAGAATTCTTTCCTATGTTCGGAACCCCAACTTAGTACTGGTTTGAGGGGAAGTATATGCCACAACTATCTGTAGTTAGGAAGCCTTAAAATATAGGTTCTTTTTGGTAAAAAAAAAAATGGAATTTGTTTTAAAATATTTCAATCAATGTTTCGCAATCAAAATCCCGAAACTTCAATAGAAAACGTAAACAACCTGACTCATCAATGGACACTAAGGTTGTGTTTGGTAATGTTTTTGTTTTCATGCTTTCAAAAAAATATAATTAATTTTTATTTTTTTCTATGGTTAAAAGTTGAAACAGAAAACGTGTTAGGATATAGTTCTTGTTTTAAGAAATTTAAAAACTAAAACAAAAAATATGTTTTGAAACAGAAAACCACTAGACCAAGCGTTCATTTCGTTGTTCATGGGCTTTTTTATGGTAAGGAAAAAATATATATTTTTTGCTGTTAAGGTGTTTGAAGTCGAAATCCCATTTAATTGGGTTTGGGAGCTTTCCGCCTGTTTTGTTTTTTTGGATGTTTTCAAAAACATGATTTTGAATATTTTCATATTTTGTCCTTGTTTTTAAAACGGAGCAGCAAAAAAAATTAAAACATTCACTAAACACTTTTTTATTTTTTTATTTTTCCAAAAAATGTGAAAAAAAAAAACAAAAAACATTGTGTTACCAAACACAACCTAAATAACCGTTCTAACACTATCTTAAATAATGAAAAAAGAGTCGAGACATTTCTTTGTAAAAACAAATTTGGTACAAATGGTTGATAATATTTTATAGTCTTTACAAAAGAAAATTAAAATTTATTACTCAAATTTTACACGTATAATGCTCATGTACACCAACTAGTGACTACAAATAAATCAAACTAAGATTTACATCTAATAATTATTTTTCGATATAGTACCAAAAAAATTTTGGGTTACCATAATGTAATGCCTTATACTATGTAGCAAAACTCTTGTGTTCCTGACTTTAGTTCTTAATCTTCTCTGAAGGGAAAGAATTCTGTCCTATATCCTGGACCCCAACTTAGTACTAATTTCAGGGGAAATATATGCAAACTGGAGTCAGCCTTTTCAAAATATTTTTCTATTTCCATTTTAATTTGAAATAATTTTTCTCAAATATGTTTGTTTACAAGCTAACTGAAACTGAAAGTATCCACGAGGATAAAATTTTTACCCTTGGGAGTTGCCATATTGTATTTTCTGTAAACCAACTTTAGTGGTGGCGGGAATATAAAGCAACCTTGAAATTGAGAAGGCAGGCATAAGGCATTCCTTTCTTCATCCAGTGAAACTTTCTTAGCTACCAAGCATAGAACCAATCTGGCTATATAACTGTCAATCTTCTAATTCAGCTGCACAAATATATCTTCACTAGTCTACGATGCCGACTTTTGAAACCGACTCCGAGGATGAAAGAGCCCCAGTCGAAAAGCTGTTTGGCCGCGAACGGCCAATACACGATGTACTTGGAGGAGGCAAAGGTACTATGCACATTAACTCAGACCCAAGACAAAAATATGCAGATTTTACCATATAGTGTGATGCTGTCTATAGTTTAAATAGGGGCTCAGTCAGTGCTTCATTCAGGCAGAGAGGATGAACAGTTTCTATATGCAATCGCTTTTGCATCTTATTTGCATGGTGATTCAACTGAGTCATGACTGTTAAAAAACAAACTGAGTCATGGCCAACAGTAAAAGGCTGTTTTTTATCATGTTAATTTGGGAACTGACTAGTGTTTATGCCTTGTTTTATGTGTAATATGCGAAATCCAGATAGGCCGTAGGGTGGTCATTTTCGATAACTGACAGATACCCTACACGAGGTTCTTAGATTAAGATTGATTAATCATCAAGACGAGCCTGGAAAAAGCTTGACATGCTAATACGAATAGTAAATGGATTAAAGTGGTGTCAAACATAAACAATCCCATTTTGGCACAACCAAAAAAACATGTTTAAATAGTATTGTATGAAGAAAATGTTTGATCTGTTTGTGTGTTCATTTATTGATATAGTATTGCATGAGTCCTTATAGAACTAACGTGCTTTTAATTCAATATCGCTAGTATTTGGGTCGAGTGGAATTTTAGTTAGTAGGGAGATTATAGATAATGGGTTTGGTTGAATTTTTTTACAATTTTTGCTTTTTCAAGTACGAAGCTTCCTAGTGGAAAAACAGCCGAAAAAGAAAAAAAATACAATTTTTTAGCTGTTTTATACCTATGTTATGTACTACTTGAAATCACTGAAGCCTCCATGATCATCACTAAGATAGAAGCATCCATGGTTTACAACCACTTGCTTTTATCTTTTTCAAACACTACTTTCATCATTGAGCTGCTGTTTAACATACCTGTGGCTATACTGATACTTTTAGATTGAATTTACAGTGGCAGATGTGTTGTTATGGAGAGACAAAAGGGTATCAGCTACACTTCTAACTGGGATTTCAGTGATATGGTTTCTTTTTGAGGTTGTGGAATATAATATGGTGACCCTCCTGTGTCACATCTTCATCACCACAATGCTGCTTATCTTTATTTGGTCTGCAGGGGCTGATATTTTCAAATGGTAACTTCTTTCTTCATTCAAGAACTTACTCTCCATTGTATGTGACACTGATATTAGGGGTAAAATATACCAGTGGTTCTCGAAGTATACACTCAGTTTTATTTTGGTTGATCAACTTTCAATTGTGTTATTTTGGTGCCTAAAATGTTCAATTTATTTTTATGTGGTCCAATCGTTAACTCTCGTCCTAATAAGTAACAGAATTGGTCATGTGATTGTCATCACCAAAAGGAGCACAATTGTTGCTATTTTATTATTTAGAAAGAGGGAAATGTTATGATACTGAAATCGGTACCTTGGTATTGTACCAAAATTTATTAACTTTTTAAAGTTAAATTATAATTTTTTAAGGTAAAAGTAAAAATTGTGAAAAACATGAGCGATCATAAAATGTTTAGATCGATTATGAAAATTACACCTTTTACGGGTAAAATTACAATTTTTAGGGTCAAGTTACACAATGAAGTTACAACTAATAGGGGTTGTTTTTGATCGATCACAACATTTCATAATCAACTGATTTATTTCAACCAATTGTAACTTCGACTTCAAAATATGTAAGTTGCTTTAAAAAATAGTATTTTCCGGTAATATTATCCTTGATAGAAGTTCAAAATTGAACCATTTCAATCAAATTAGATATTTGATGGTCCAGATGACACAATTGGAAGCTCACTAGGACCTATTAAAAGATCAACCAATCCAAGGAAAGTTTTAAATGCAGAAGAAGAATGTTACTAGCAGATTAATACACTACCCATCTCCAAACCAATCAATAAGGTTTTCTGACTTGTATAGTTGTTTTCCTTTACTGAACTTCTAAATCTATCTGCAAGTTTGGTGACTATCCAGAGACTGGACAGCCCTAGATCTCAACTTTTTTACGGATATTATATAATTTATCGTTTGACCTAAATTTTCTGATAATTTGTATTAGTGTTTTTCTCTTTGGCGCTTTATAACTTTGAAGTCTCTGGTTTGGCAACTGCTAATATCTGCAGGACTCCTCCTGACATTCCAAACACTATTTTACGTGAGTCCACTTTCAAAGAAGCTGTGTCAACCTTCCATGCAAAATTAAACGAGTTCCTCTCAAAGTTCCTCTACATTGCATGCGGAAATGATCCAAAAAACTTCTTTCTGGTATCTGCATCAACTATACTCATCCTCTATGAATTACAATTTTCACCCACAAGTTTGATAATGTAAAATCCTCTGTTTTAATGTACAGGCCATTATTTCCTTCTCAATTCTGTCGATGATCGGGAACTATATCAGTTCCTTGAATCTTCTGTTTTTCGGTAAGATCATGCTGCTGTCTTACATTTCATATAGTAATTTTTCCATTGGCTAACTGATTTTATTTTTTGAATGTGCATCAGGCCTTCTCTGCATGGAAACTTTACCATTCTTGTACGAACGATATGAGGAAGAAGTTGATTATCTTGCTGGCAGAGTAACTAGAAGGGTGAGGAAAGTGTACAAGAAGGTAGATACAAAAGTTCTTGAAAAGATTCCAAGAGGGCCTGTGAAAGAGAAGAAATCCAAGAAGTTCTAAGCATGCATGTACTTCGATGGATTTTGCTGTTCTTTTGTTGGAAATTTACCTTATCTTGAATATATATGTACAGATAAGATTTTAAAAAAAAGTTTGTAAGAAATGGAACAGTTGTATACTGTGGAATAAAGAGAAAGATAGGTTCCAATGGGGACACACGAAAAAATGTGAACAAATACAACTTAACAAAACTTTGTCCCAACATTTTTGGGGCGGCTACATGAATCTTCTTTCGCTATTGTGTTCAATTGTAAACAAATACAAGGCAAGAAAAAGAACATGCATTTAGCTTGTGTCACAACAAATTCAAGCCTACAGTTTGAAAGATCAACGAAGAGATGCAACAATGCAACAACTGGTTAATTGAGTCCTTAAAAACTTTGGATTAAGGGGCCAAACAACTGAAATTTCTCTATGGAGAAGTATAGATTGGCTCTAAAAACCTAAAATCCTTACTGATGGGACATTTCCGGAATACTCCAAGATGAAGACACGTGTCCTCGGTACAGTTGATGGGACAGTTCCGGAATACTCCAAGATGAAGACACGTGTCCTCGGTATCACTGATCCTTGTTATCGAGATCACGTACCCATCGGGTCACAAGTCCCCTCTACCCCGAGGTACTTATCATGGATCGATTGGCATCCAGTACGCTTTTATGTACCGACACATACCCTCGGTCTGATTGGTACATCGGTCGCTAGGCCTCCCCTCTCGGATTCAAGATATACCTATTCCTTGGTTTCCAAGATATACCTCTTCCTCGGTACCGAGATGTACCCCCCTCTCATCCAGGATGAAGTTCTCTGCTCCAGCAAAGGTTAGGCTAGATTAGCTATCATGACCTCGTCTTACACAATTGGTGTCAGAAGGTACAAGAAGGCAGGGGCCACAGCCAATGAGGAATGGACGCGTGGCATATTGTGTCACATCAGAGACAGAAAGACCGCATGACCTTGCTGACACGCGACTTGGGAAAACAAGCATTTAATTACACAATTCCTTTGACGAGACTGCATTCAATGCTGTAAGGCTCAGAAGTGAAAGACAATAAATGTTTCTAAGGCTGGGCATTTATTGCGTCCTCCCCGAGAGGAGCTCATTGAACAGTCGGCAGCCCGATGACACAGTATTGATTGCTCGGGATCCTGAGCAGTTAAAAGAAAAGACATTCCTCATCAGAATCAGTGCGTACACTGCCTGTACCTAATGATCACGTACTGACTACACTGACAGCAATAATGAGTTTTAAGGTATAAATACTCCTCGCAAAAGGCAAGATGGTATGCAACAAAAAACCTTTGCTACAATACATACTCAGTGTTTTCTTCTTCCTCTCTCTCTCAAAGACTGACTTGATCGTCGGAGGGGATACGCCGGAAAACACTCCAGCGCCCTTCTAAGNCCTCTCTCTCTCAAAGACTGACTTGATCGTCGGAGGGGATACACCGGAAAACACTCCAGCGCCCTTCTAAGTTGTTCTTCTTTGTTCCAGGAACCTTTCTTCAGCCTTACTGGATCGTTCCTTTGATCCACGAGGGTCTCCTATTACCGTTCCAGGTTACCACAGGATCTCACAGACTGTTCCAAGCAGCGTAGTTGACCACTCCACTAATTCACTCGAGTTCACTAAGGGAGAGATCTGTTCTTGTTTTTATATTGTGCGAAATCTAGCACGCACAATCTGGTGCCGTCTATGGGAATCGACTAGTTTTTCTAGTTTTTTCTCTATAAAGAACAGTGACCATGGTGAACACTCGACAAAAAGGGAAAGGTCCCCACCAAAGAAGTCTCGAATTACANTCCCAACCAAAGAAGTCTCGAATTACAAGCTCCCTATCACCATGGAGGGAGGGATCACACTGATGGGAATAAAAATGCCTCTACTCAGTCAAGAGGGGTTACCCCTCAAACCAGTATGGGAATCAGGTCAGGAGGATCAGCCCCCCTGGCTCGTTAGCTGGCCGAGGTGATCGAGAAAAAGTTTGGCGATAGATTACGACAGCTGAAAAAGGACAATGTGAACGTCCTAAGCCGGCTCAACAAATTTGCCGCCTCCGGCGAAGGGTCGAGGGACTCATTCCTTTCTCATGGGCTCCCCGCTGGGGAGGCGGAAACGAAGGATCTAAGGAATCATCTAAACAACAAGGTAGAAAGCTCCAGGGCCCCAAAGTGACCGAGAACAAACGAACGCCCTCCTAATGACCATTCAAGGAATGCAAGACCGTTAGCCCTAGACGACCTCCGGCGAGGATTGTCTAGATGGAGGAAGGGAGATGAGTCCGAGGAGGATTCTACCCTATCCACACGGCGCCCAGGAAATGGGGGGCCCATTGATGAACTCAAAGACTTCAGAAGACATCCCGTCAGAGAGGAAATTGATCTCAGAGCCCGGTTGCAATCCAGGAGAAAGAGTAAGGCTGTCCAGGATGAGGCCGAAGACGAGGTCATGCAAACACCTTTTACCAGGGAGATCGGAGAGATGGAGGTTTCAAGAAAANCCCGTCAGGGAGAAAATTGATCTCAGAGCCCGGTTGGAATCCAGGAGAAAGAGTAAGGCTGTCCAGGATGAGGCCGAAGACGAGGTCATGCAAACACCTTTTACCAGGGAGATCGGAGAGATGGAGGTTTCAAGAAAANGTGCCCTTGGTGGAGGGAGAAGAAGAAAGATATTTCTTAGTTAGGACCGCGATGCCCGCAGCCGAACAGGAGGAGATGATTGAGTTCCGAAGGGGAAATGCAANCCAAGATGAGGCCGAAGACGAGGTCATGCAAACACCTTTTACCAGGGAGATCGGAGAGATGGAGGTTTCAAGAAAATTTGTCGTGTCGAGGTTCAAAACTTATGACGGGCGGTCCGATCCCGAAGCCCATCTCAGGCAATACAAGCAGATGATGTCTCTCTATCATTCGGACCAACGATTCCTCTGCCGAGTGTTTCCTATGAGCTTGGGGGACTCTGCGATGAAGTGGTTCGAGGCGCTTCCCCCCAACAGTATTGGATCGTGGAAGGAATTGACGAGGCAGTTCCTAGCTCGATTCATTACAGGGAGTAAGCGGCCCAAAGACGTTGGATCATTGCTAACGCTCAGACGTAGGGAATCCGAGACCTTTCGCCAGTATGCCATCCAATATTTGGAAGAGGTAAATGAGGTAGAAGGCCGCTTGGAAGTCATGGCAGCGGCGTCTTTCAGGCTCGGCTTGGCGAGGGACACAGACCTGTACCGATCCCTGACCAAGAAGACTCCCTCCGATATGGGCGAGTTGATGGTNCGGCCCAAAGACGTTGGATCATTGCTAACGCTCAGACGTAGGGAATCCGAGACCTTTTGCCAGTATGCCATCCAATACTTGGAAGAGGTAAATGAGGTAGAAGGCCGCTTGGAAGTCATGGCAGCGGCGTCTTTCAGGCTCGGCTTGGCGAGGGACATAGACCTGTACCGATCCCTGACCAAGAAGACTCCCTCCGATATGGGTGAGTTGATGGTCCGGATAAACAAATACTCAAGGATCGAGGACGAGATGGGAAGCAGCAAAGGCCGAACCCTCCAACCTAAGAGAAAGGAAAGGGAGCGGGAAGATACTCCCCGAAAGGGATTACTACCCCCTCCAGGGGGTTCGTCCAAAGGAGTTCACACTATGTTCAAGGAACCCATCTTCAAGTTGCTCCATAAAATCAATCATGAGCCGTTCTTCAAGTGGCCGCCCAGGATGCAGAGCGATCCTTCCACCCGTGATCAGAAGGTTAGGTGTTCCTATCATCGGGATTTCGGACATCGCACCGAAAGTTGCAGGGCATACAAATCGTTCTTGGAAAGATTGGTCCAAGACGGATATTTGAAAGAATACATAGAGTCCAGGCCAGAGGAGAGACACACCTTTGCCCCGACCGAGGAGCCGGACAACGTCATAGATTGCATCCATGTATGTCCCCTAGATCGCCCCACGTCTAAGGAACTCGAGTCCGACCTCAAGAAGGTAGCTTTTACAAGGAAGGTAGCCGAGGATGATGGGGGGACCACCCAGTAAAAGGGCCAGGACTGGTGAGCCCAGTATCACGTTCTCCGACGCGGACTTGACAAACGTAGTGACTCCTCATAACGACGTCCTCGTCTTGACCCTGAAGATAGGAAAATTCGACGTCAAAAGAGTGTTGATAGACTCTGGAAGTTCCTCGGAAGTGATGTACTCCGAGACTTTAAAACAGATGGGTCTTAGCCTCAAGGACCTCACCAAGGTCAGGACACCCCTCATC